GATCTCACCATGCTCTTAAGTTCTCATGACACACTGTTCATTAATTTCAGTTTATTAAAAGGCACTCTAAGCAGCTCTCAACTCTCCTTTAGAAGAACAGCTATGTACATTATAAAAGCGGAGGGGGGGAACGACACACTCCACCTTACAGTGCTTTTAAAAGAAAGATGAATCTTTCATCCTATCTGCAGAGCTGGAGGAACACAAATCTCATGGGAATTCATGGAGTAATGGGCAGAGTACGCAAGGCCATATTATATATTACCTCTCCTCATCCAACATTAATGCATGTACATTGCCTGTCCGCACTGCAAATTCAAACTAACCTGAACATACTAATCCAAAATATGGTTTCCAACTTTTTGTACTTAGACAATAAAGATGACAGGGTATGAAGCATAAATAACCATCTCCTGATATAATTGATAATTACATTAATCCTCGTGTCGTTAATGAAAACTTAAAGAGAAACAGCAGGCTTTGTAAGGATGCTCAGGAAAGCAGCGTGCTGCAGGCAATAACAACAGATTAACAAGGCAGGGACTGAAAGCAGGGACCTTGGGTGCGCAGAAGGAATCTGAGTAGGCATCAACTCAGGCATGGAGAGGCCGCCAGCATTCTAGGAAAGCTACATGAAACAATGTTGAAAAGATTACTGTTTTGGGAACTCAGTGCAATTTCCCACAGACACTAAAAGAAAGTTTGCATGAAAGGAAGAAACCATAATTAAACGTGGACACAGAAATTAACACAAGCCTGGGGTTAATGTACTCCACTTGCTAGGACAAACCCGGCTTTAATAACTTCCAGGGGCTGCATCTGTATTGCTGTCTCAGGGCACACTATTTGAACCAAGTTAGTTGTTTCCACGTGCTTTTGCACCAGAAAACTGAATCAGTCCCACTGGCTGGTGTACTAAGACTGAAAAATACTTGCGATGCAAAGTCACCTCAAAAATCACCACGCAGCTGAATTGATTGCTAGCAAAAACAATGTTGCCGCAGGCAATCCCATGCTCTTATAGTTTTGTCCTAAACCACAAGAAGTTACCAAGATGGCACATGAGGCATGAAAAATTTCCCTAAAACTTAGCATGCACTGCAACAGTCTGTACATACATTTTTACACCAGAAACAAATATCAAGTAAACAGAGCCTAAATATCTTGTTCCTAGAAGCCAGAGATAGTCCTCAGATGTCATCTAGCATCTTTTCTGATTAAGAACTGCACGTACAATGAATAACGTGTGCAGTCCTACAGTCAGTCACAATAAGCAAGCCACTTTTGAGGAGGTTGAAGCCCTTGAAATTAACTTAAACTGTTCGTGAGCTTGTCTGTTTTCTGATAACCTGAAGCTGCCTTGCAGAAATGTTACTTCTTCATTCTAATAAATCCTAGATTAACCATAAGAGTGCCTGTACCTCCAACGGGTCCATTGTCTGATCTCACCCTGTTAAGGGCAGAGATTCCTCGGTGACATAACCCTGAACAACATGCAGAGGGGGAAGGGATTAATTAGGCTCCCAATACCCAACAGTCCAACATAATTTGTTGGAGTCAGAAGCGCACAGATTAGATGCAGCAGGATCAAGAGAAAGTACCCTCACTTCTTTCTCTTCTAGCTATTTTTGGTACTTCCAGTCATGAAGCAGACACCTCCTCTAGCTTACATTTCAGTCTACTGTAGACCCTATGGCAGCTTCAAATCTCAATTTTTTTCCAACCACAAAACGTAGATGTACTTTGTGGGTACAGCTCAGAAGAGAACTAGCCTGTGAGCTGCTAGCGTGAAGTGTTTCCAGCCAAACCAATAAGGTGAGTGCTTCATGCATTTAGGCTGCTCGTTGCAGCGTTCATAGTAGGCCCCAGCAGTCAGATGCCAAGTATTTGCATTATCCACTACGCCTGACTGCTCTGAACAGATTTGAACACCTGCAGCTTCCGACTACGGTGAGCACATTAGACACACTTTCAACTCTAGACAAATACTAGAGCTGCCACCTGTCTCAGAGTCTGAGCACTAAACAGTCAGCCACTGGCTATTTATAAAAAAAAACAACACACACACCAGCCAAACTAACTCTTAAGATGGCACATAGATGACTCTACTGTCTGAAATACGGAGCCCTCCCCAAAACGACACTGTGGACAAATAATTTCTTGGCCTTTTCATTAGTTAAATAATGCTGCTTTATAATTTAAGTTTAGGTACAACACTGCATTCTCTTCCACTCATTTGAGGATAGGCAATCGGTGCAATTTCTGACTGTTCCTCCCTCTTATCCTAAGGAATAAAAGTGTTAAACTGGAAAGGATCTAGACTTTTTTAGAGGACTGACTCAAGACAGGAAGTGAGCAAAAGATTACTCCTACTGACAAGCTATACAACACTGCTGTAATAAGCAGCAGTCAGATCCTCTGAAGCAAGAGAAAAAATCATCAGTCATCCTATTTATAATGAATAGGTGTGTGTTGTGTGGCCAGGCAAATTTAAGCACGACTCCTCTTCTCTAGAAAACTTCAATATCATCATCTTCCTTGATATCCTGCTAGGAGATAATATGCTACACAAAAAACAGAACTTTGTACTGGCCATGCCCAGTCTGAAGGGTGCAGACATTTCATAGAAGTTAATCTGGCATCTCTACTCAATAGTCATTTGCTAATCTACACCTGCCTTCACAGAAGTACTGAAAGTTTTAACCAAGTCCACCCTATGACAGAAGAAAGATTTTTCTGTGTGTAGTGCCAACCTTCGACTATGCACAGCATTACTTGATGGATGACTTCAAGCAGGCATCAGGGACAGACATACAATTACAGACAGCTTCAGGAGATGAGGAACTTGATAGAATGACAAGCAAATTGTACCGCCACCTCCAAAACAATTTATAGACAGTTTCATGTGGCAGAACAACAGACAGTACCCTATGCCTACTAGGGCTCTCAGTTATCCTGAAATTCAAAGCTCTTAAATACTAAAAGAGCCCCATTCACCTGTACTCATTAGCTCCTTCTCCTCCACCCAAAGGTGCCTTTAAGCACCCCACTTGGCAGAAGCATTTATCTAATGTTATCCATATACTAGATTCAAGTGCTACTGCTCCAGACAGGGAGGGTAAGTCAATACAGGTCTGCACCAAGGGTTACAACTTTCGCTAGCACGATCCAGATAAGTGAACTTAGTCACCAGGTAGCTTGTGACTAAGTCAGAAAGCATCTTTATAGAGCCAGCAACTGTTTACCTTGCTGTTACCTTTGTCACTACCTATACTTAGGAGAAAATATATTTAAAGAGACAAACAGTGCTCACGAGGCGTGTTTCAAGTTTACAATTACAGCTCACTAAGCTCCACACCTTTAAGCAAATGAGCCTGTATATTTTGCCACAGAAGGGCAGGGGCATCATGACCTGTGGGCTTGGCCCTTTTCAATGATAAGAGGTTCAGCTTTCCAGCACAAATCATGCGTTACTGCATGCAATGACTTCAACAAGCTGTTCGGGTACAGGGCTGCTCTGGAAAGAGCCTAGGCTCTGCCCCCCACTACATCTGATGAGGCACGGCTCAGGAAGTTAGGACAAGGGGAAGAAAAGCTTGTGGAGAAGGAAAACCGTGCAGATAAAGGACAAAGATCATTCGGCAAGGGAAGACATACCAAGAAAAGCAGAGCTCAGCAGCCACCGGGACAGCTGCCTCTGGACCAACATATCAAAACTGCAGTGCGTTATACAGAACGTGGCATTGCTTTAAGCGTGGTATCTTTTACTGGACTAACTAATGTCACTGGGATACAGTTATAGACAAGCTTTCAAACGCAAGACTTTCTTCCTCAGGTGACCCAAGGAAAAGTGTCTTGCATTCAAAAGCTTATCTAACTCTTGGCTAACAGGTGACTCATCCAACTCTCATCTAACAGATGACCTGACGAAAAATGTCTTGCATTCAAAAGCTTGTTTATCTCTATCCCAGCTACATAAGTTGGTCCAATTAAAAAATAAAATAAAATAAAAATCACCCTAAGAAACCCTCACCTCTTGCCTAAATACTGGACCATCACGGCTACAACATCCCTCTTATACTCTCATTCAAGCTGTGTCCAGGCAGATGAGGAGAACCCCCCATTAACGACATGCTGGGTACAAATCCACCACCCACTGGGGCTGGGAAGTTCCCCAACTTTCTTCTCCTCCCAGAGGACAGGCCGCTAACAAGGCTGCGAGAAGCTAGACTCCTCTTGCATCTGCTGGAGCAGCAGCGGTGGATGAAAGCCCAGGGATCTGCCAGATTTTGTACTGCAAGCTTCATCTTGCCCCGTCACTCCCTTCCCTCCTCCCCGCTCGCTCTCCCTCTTTCCTGGCTCGACTATACAGAACAAACCGAATGAGGAAGTCAAGATCTGAGGGCGGAAGCCAAGCCCATAGCAATGTCTGCTGCAGAATTGTTGGCCTGTGACTCAGGCTGGAACCCTGACAGCTGCCAAACGGGCCTTTTTTTCACCCTCTCTCCCCCTTAACCCCCCCCCC